TAGGAGCACTTTTACACTGTTGGTGGGAGTGTAAACTAGTTCAACCATTGTGGAAGACGGTGTGGCAATTCCTCAAAGACCTAGAAATAGAAATTCCATTTGACCCAGCAATCCCATTACTGGGTATATACCCAAAGGATTATAAATTGTTCTATTATAAAGACACATGCACACGTATGTTCATTGTGGCACTGTTTACAACAGAAAGACCTGGAACCAACCGAAATGCCCATTGATGATAGACTGGACGAGGAAAATGTGGCACACATACACCATGGAATAGTATGCAGCCTTGAAAAATGATGAGTTTGTGTTCTTTGTAGGGTCATGGATGAATCTGGAAACCATCATTCTCAGCAAACTGACACAAGAACAGAAAATGAAACACCAGATGTTCTCACTCACAGGCAGGTGTTGAACAATGAGAACACATGGACAAAGGGAGGGGAGCATCACACACTGGGGTCTGTTGGGGGGGGTCTAGAGGAGGGACAGCAGGGGGCAGGGAGGTTTGGGAGGGATAACATGGGGAGAAATGCCAGATATAGGTAACGGGGGGATGGATAGGCAGCAAACCACATTGTCATATATGTACCTATGCAACAATCCTGCATGCTCTGCACATGTACCCCAGAACCTAAAGTACAATAAAAAAAAAAAATCTAAAAAAATTATACCAAAGAAAATCCCACTCATTATTAATCTAAATCAAAACTCTAATATGCTCCTTTTAGGAGAGAAATTCTCAGTTACATTCAGGGTTCCTGAGGCTAATCTAAATTTACCTACTTTTCTAATGACTTTTCAAGCTCTGGTTTGTTTTTTCTATAGTATCCAGAACCATCACCATTTGATGATGACTTTTTTGAAATATTAACTTGGCTATACTACAGTGCCCAGTTACTCCATCAAATATTAGTCTACATGGTGCTTGTGAAGGTATTTTGCTAACATAATTAAAGCCTCTAATCAATTTAAGTAAGGAAGACTATCCTAGATAATCCCAATAGGCATAAATGAATCCTTTGGAAAAAATTTAAAAACAGGGATGAGGTTTTCCCAGGAAAGAAAAGAAATTCTGCCTGTGGACCACAGCTTTGGCTGTGCCTGCAAGATTCCATCCTGCTCATGATCATCTCTTCCTGACAGCCTTCCACAGGGATTTCAGTCTTGCCTGGCCAACCCCACGATTTTTTAAGCCTTTATTCTCTGTAATAAATATATTAATATATGTAGATATGTATGCTTCTGTGTGTGTCTGTATATGACTGTGTGTGTGTATATATATGTATTTCTCTGTGTGTGTGTGTGTGTGTGTGTGTGTGTGTGTGTATACCCTACTAATTCTGCTTCTCAGTGAATTCCAACTAATATGCACCACAGTATGGAATATAAATTTATAAGTACTACTTCTTAGATTTAATTGGGGAAAATATTTTGTATTTACAGATGTATTAGTGGGCTTGCCCAATCCTCCATTTAAAATTGCAGTGGGTCAACAGTGTAGTATAACACTAAATCATCTTCTGACAAGAACTACTATTTTCCATAACAGCCAACATGGGAAGAAACTATTCATTTATTTCTTTAGATCACAAAGAACAAGCCTGAGAATCCTTCATAATATAATCTGAACATTTAATATTGGAGATATATTTAATATATAAGAAGCACTATAAAATGAAAAAAATACTAAGGAGTTTCTTGAGTTCAATTATTGTAACAGTCTGCTTTTTGCACTTAGTAGATTGCTGAACATCCTTAAGACATTAATTCTACATGCTGAATCTACAGTGTGGCACTACAGTTACATTAGTGAAGGAACTATTTAAAGAGTATTCCAGCATAAGAACAACTAAATAAAAGATGGGCTAGAAACAAAGATGAAAACAATCACAGCTAGCAATATCAGAACTGTACCAGAACGACCACAGACTGATTTTTATCAAAAATCAGGGTACCTAAAGAGGTACAGTTCAACTTGACATAAAATCAGCTGTTATTTAATTCTGATCAAGCTAAATTCCAAGCAAGCCCCAGCAGTAGCAAGAGCAGCAGCAGCAATTCACTCTAGTGTAAGACTGTAGCCTTATATAATACTCACTTTCCCAGGAATTCCACAACAAAACCCCCTGATGGTAGAGGGACAGAAACTTGGTGCGGAGGGTACAATTTGCGAGAGATTGGCTTTCTGAGAAACAGCCTGGCCAAGGGGCAGAAGGAACATACACATATAAACACACAGACACCAAAAACCCCAATGGAACAGGACCATGATAAGACAAAAAGAAAGATGAAGAAAGTCAAATGATAAATTACAGGGAGTCAGACACACACATAGAAAATAGTGGAATGACAACATAAGAAGCAAATGGTTAGTAAGAAACACAGAAGCCGCACACATGCAAATCAGAACTAAATCTGGGAACAAGAGGCATAACATAATTCCAACTGTCTTTGACACAGAATGCCCTGATTATCTCCTCAAATAAGAAGAGCTCAGTTTATAAAAATGGCATTCAAGGGCATAAGTGAAACTAAAATCTACCTTAGTTTGTAAGCAAGCCATAATACTAAATATAGCCACTTCTGCTTAAGACATTGGGTCTAGAAGGGGTAAAAGAATAAATCACCTAAGGGTAAGAAGCCTTCAAATAACAGTTGCCAAGAAGTCCAAAAAGAACATAACTAACCTTGGCAGAACAGAAAGAAAATTGAATTGGAATTTACAAACCCCACTGTGTCACTTCAGGGATAACTTCTTTGGGTCTCGGTTTCCTCTTTCATAAAATGCTATGCTAGATCACTTTCGCAAATTCTATGATTCTACCGTTTATTCAACATCTTAAACTGTGTTACCAAGTCACAAATTCAAAGCTGGTAGCAAAAGATGAGTTATGAAAGCTGTTTCCCCCTTTTTTTTTTTTTTAACCGGTAGCCAAGAAACTGTGTTAAATCCTAAAACAAAATTATAATGCTATAGAGCCAGAGGACAGAACTGTAAAGTGCTTTTTCCAACTTTTGAAACAGTTACATTCTATGGAAAGAATAGATCATTTACAACTCTTTCTAAAAATGTGAGAAATATAGTGGCTAATAAAAGTTGCTATTTGGTGCGCTTTGGATATCAAATACAGACTTAGTCCTATTTCTTAATCTCCTGTTCACATCCATCTCCCAAAATCAATATTGGCACCCAAAATGAATAAAAAACGTTTTCAAGCAAGCTGCCTGGAATAGCAAACAATAATTACAAATGTAGACTTCTAATACAAGAAATCAAACCATAAATAAAACTTATTCAAGGAATTTCTTTAGTGAAATATATTTAGTGGAAAGTTGCTAATCAATCAAAAGCACTATATTTTTAGTATCTATGCAGTACTGTTGCAGATTTTAGGCCTTTCCAAAAGCCAAGAGAGGCATGTATTCACATAAGTATGTAAGGGGTGAGAGCGTATATACACATGCATGCATGTGTGTGTTGTGGGGGAGAGTGCAGTTCAGATATGAAGATATAAAAAATGCACATAATCAAATCTTGAAGCGATGGTAATTTTAAAATTCCGATTTAAAGAATTTTATCCATGTATCTTATCCAGAACTGAAGAAAATGAGTAGAGTTAATTCCAAAATAAGATCCTTCGTATTTTGGTGAGCAGGTAATCAGCCCATGTAATTTACACTTTCCGTACAGTGAAGGGCTGTGAAGGTTAGACTTTATAGTTTTGGTTTCTTTTTTTTGTTTGTTTCTGAGACGGAGTCTCGCTCTTGTCGCCCAGGCTGGAGTGCAGTGGTGTGAGCTCAGCTCACTGCAACCTCTGCCTCCCGGATTCAAGCAATTCTCCTGTTTCAGCCTCCTGAGTAGCTGAGATTACAGGCGCCTGCCACCATGCGCAGCTAATTTTTGTATTTTTAGTAGAGACGAGGGTTCTCTATGTTGGTCAGACTGGTCTCAAACTCCTGACCTCAGGTGATCCACCCGCCTCAGCCTCCCAAAGTGCTGGGATTGCAGACCTGAGCCACTGCGCCCAGCCTAGTTTTGGTTTCTTGAAAATTAAAACTGTATGACTGCAGAATGGGAAAAAAATAACTTCAGAAGACCATATCAAGTCAACTCAAAACTTCAAACTTAGTAAAAAATTTATGGAAGTACTCTAATACTTCTCAGCCTTCAAGAGCATGGAAAAAAAAAATTCTTAAGGATCAGTCCCCAAACGGCCACATAGATTAGTGACACCCTTCTGTCTGTTCAGAATATATGTAATTAACAAAGTTCTACCAGCAGAGCTATTTCTGCACACTTTTAAATTTACGTTAAATAAATGGTGTCAAAGAAGAGGTGAAGAGGCACATGCTTGACCTTTAGCATAAAATAATAAGAAAAAACACCAAAAAACTTCTAAGAAAGATACCTGTCTGCCTAGATTTGTTCAAACACAGAATATTTTGAAGAATTCCAAGTAAGAGACAGCTTCATAAAAAACACATCCAAGGCTCCAAAATTGTCCCTAAAGTGTCTCTCCTCCTAATTTTGATCTAATGCACTGACGTAACAGCTTGCTTTTCAACAATAAAAATTGTGAAAAGTCTAAAAATCCCAAAGGAGCGTAAGCTCAACAATGAAGGTCTCAATCAGTGATAAAAGATTAACTCCTTATGCTTGCGGATCATTTTTTCATTATATGAAGAAATTAAAAAGTAGACATTTGTCCTCTCTTGATTTGCCAGTAAAAACACTAATTTTAAATTGATGAATACTTTCTCTTTTGCCAATCAATGATGTTGCCGTCCATAGCTTCCCAATTTACTCCCATTCTATGTTCCTTTTAGATACTGCAACAAAGAATGTACACTGACCTAGAAAAAAGGCAGCTAATAGCTAAGCCTCAAGAACCTAAATTCAGAGTCAGATACATTGAAAAAGTATATCCCCAAAAGCATATACTTTTAAAACCATACTTTAACCTCATGAGTCCCAGTCAGCTTCCCTTTCTTACCTTTCCAATTCAGCTATCTTCTTATCTTTGTCATTCTTCTCATTTTCCACCTCCTTCAAGATTTCTAAGAGTCGATCAACTTCTGCCTGGGCCTTGCTAGATTCATCTTTATACCTGGTGATCTCTCTCTCCAAGTGCTGTATTCGGTCACTCATCTCTGGACTGGCCCTGGCTTCCAATGCTGCCTCATGTGCCTAACAAAGAAGAGCATTTCAATCCTATCAGACACACACAGCTGGCAATGGGCAAACCGTGTCCCAAATAACTATTTATATTCCAATTTAAGAACCGTATTATCAAATATCTAACAGCTAGTCTGCAATTTATAAGGTTTTTATCTGCTTAAGTATTATACAGAAAAATATTAGTAATAAATGGAGAATTATCTTATGTTCCAAATAGATTAGTTGTTTTAAATAATACATCTCTGAATATTATTAGATTAAAAATCATCATAAGCCAAAAGATGCTTCAGAATTTAGTGAGACAAACTAACAAGTCATTGGACTGCTACTGATCTCTCCAAGATAATATCAAAAGGCAACACCAGGGACTCACTGCTGATCTTATAGCCGGACCAGTACAGAGACCTAATTCCCACTAGACTAACTTCCATTTCCATCTCCTATATGCTGCTTTACCTAACTTGTGTGAATCACATAGCCTTGGACATCTAGAACCATACAGATACTGTGAGTGTGATGCCATAAAAATGCGAGTTAGATTAAGAAAATAGCTGCTACCACCACCACACAGGTTCCTCCCTCAAGCAAGGATTAGAGAATTTACAAAATAATATGGAAGAAACAAATGAACTCAGAAATCAAGAACCAGACTTAAGGCTGGACTCAGTGGCTTGAGCCTATAATCCCAGCACTAAAGGGAGGCCCACAAGTTGAAGACCAGCCTAGGTAACACAGCAAGGCCCCATCACTATTAGAAAAAATATATATTTAAAAAAATTTTTTTAAAGAACCATACTAAGATCTGAGAAAAAAAGTTTTCTTCAGGATCCTATTATAAAAATCAACTAATATTGTTAATGCATTTTGGAATACAAGTCAGTTTCAATAATTACAAACTAATTTTCAACACCTTACTTTTCTTCTGGAATGCAGAATGCATTTAATGAGAAGACAAAAGCTGTTTTTTCTTATTCAATAGACCACAGAATATATTTAGTCCCTTAAAATGGTTTGAAAAAATATTAAAGGAGAAAATATATATTCTTAGGAAATATTTCAGAAAGCTCTGAAGCAAAGTACCTTGAATAAATGAGAAATGTTTGTGTAAATTGTGCTAAACGCTTGGTGAAAGTAACAGCTATACTTTTAAGATAAGTCCTTTCTCAAGTTCATTTGTTTAAGGCTTCACACATGTAGAAAAAAAAAAACCTTTTATCTGTCTTAAATACAGACTTCCCTAACCCTTAACCTTGATAAACATATGAAGTATATTTTAAGAAACAAAAATCATATGTAAGTTTGGAAGGTAAGAAGAGATCACTGGGGTCCAAAGTGGCTCCCGCCAGAGGTCATGGCGCTCGCGAAGGCGAGGTCATCAGTTCAAGGCTAACCTGAGTAACCTCATAAGCTCAAACTCATTGGCAAAAAAAAAGAAGAGATCACTGTTCTGCACTGAATGCTATCCAATGTCTAAAATCACTTGTTTCACATGGTTTGCCAGCTTTTGAGTTGTTAATTGCAGAAGAGAAACTCCTGTAGCAGTCAATCTTCCATGGGCAGAAGGCAGCTATAAATACAATACATCTAATAGAAAAGCAGAGAGGGAAGAGAGTATAAGGAATAGCAAGATCAGGAGCTATTTCAATAGAAAGCTGATCATATTACACATAAAGGGAGGGGACAAAAAAGGGAACAGACTGAAGATGCAAACAAAAGCTGAGAAAATTCTCAGTATCCACAAAGAAAGAAGGTGATGAAATAGGCAATAAAAGGAGACTTGATGTAGGGGCACAAAAGATGACTGTGTAAACAAACGTGAAGGCCAGCTGCCATTTAGTGTCACTGAGATAATGCTGATTCCTATTAATTTATTATAAATGTATTATTAATAACTTCTCAAATATAACTACTACATATCAGCATTCTGGGTCTTCATACATGCTGGTGAGTCCTTACTTTGAGGTCTCAGCTTAGAAAGGGTCACTTCTGTTAGGAGGTATTCCATGACCTTGACCTAGGTTAGTTTTCTTTGATATAAGCTTACCTCACACCATGTGATTTTCTACAATTACCTTCTTAAGTGTCTATCTTCCTGATAGAGGCTATAAATTATATGAGTCAAGGGACAGGTATGTCTTGTTCACCATTATATCATCAGTGCCCAGTGTAGTAACTGACAGAGTAAAAACTCAATTATTTGTAGAAAAAATGAATATGCAAAAAGCAGTGGGCTAGTTTCCATTTGATGTAAAACAGCCCATAGGCCTAAACGGTAGGAAAAGAAAAAATGGGAAGAAGAGATATTAATCAGTAATTAAATATAAATGTAAGACTAAATGTAGCCCGGAAGATGATTGAGAATATGGAATGAGGCCAGGTGTAGTGGTTCACGCCTCTAATCCCAGCACTTTGGGAAGCTAAGGTGGAGAACTGCTTGAGCCCAGGGAGCTCAAGATCTGCCAGGGCAACATAGTGGGACCTTGCCTCTACAAAAAAATGATAAAATAATAACAATAAAGATAATAAAATATTAAATGACAATCTTTAAAGACAAAATAAATCAAACTAGAAAAGAAAATCAAAGATACTATAAACCTTCCCTTCCCTTATGACAACAAATTCTGTATCAGAGTAGTTTACATCTAAACTCTTGCTGAGTTAATTTGTGCTTTTAAATAAAATTCTATGAATTTTAAACCACCTTAAAGATCCTTACAACTTTATAAATTACAATACAAACTCCAAAAAAGGTACATTTTTCAAATCAGTGTTATAAACATCCCTTTAAAATGTATTTCTAGGCCAAGTACAGTGGCTCACGCCTGTAATCCCACCATTTTGGGAGGCCAAGGTGGGTGGATCACCTGAGGCCAGGAGTTTGAGACCAGCCTGGCCAACATGGCAAAACTAAAAAGTACAAAAATTAGCCGGGCGTGGTAGCGCACACATGTAATCCCAACTACTTGGGAGGGTGAGGCATGAGAATTGCTTAAACCCAGGAGGTGAAGACTTCAGTGAGTCAAGATCATGCCACTGCATTCCAGCCTGAGTAACAGAGCGAGACTCTGTCACAAAAAAGTAAATAAAAATAAAATGGATTTCTAAATTGTGGAATATGACATTTAATTCAAGATGGAAGCATTTCTTCTGTGCATAGAGTCACTTATCACAGCATCAGTATGAAAGGTATTTTCTGGATGAAGTTATTTCATTTCATGGCTTCATTCTCTTCTCCCCTTTCTTACCCATTAAGTTCTAACTGTACATTAACCTATGTTTTAAAAATGCAGATAATCTATACACTTTGCTTTTAGAATGTGAGGTCAAGAACATTCAGAAGCAAAAGCTACAAACTTCAGTGAAATAACAATATTAAATATTTGTGTAAAATATCACCTTTGGACAAAAGAAGCTAACCTAACAGTGAATAACCATCCTTAAAATACTGAGTTAAAGTTAAGTCTTCCATCCACAGGCCTTGTTCTGAAAAATACCTACCTTTTACATTATTAAAACTGTAATACTCACACACTGGAGGCAAAGATTTTGTTTTGTATTTCATACATGTCATAGTAAAACATGTAAGATTACAAAACCATGCAGATAATCGTATTCCCATAGAAATCAACATTTTTACCACATAACCTATTTAATGAGAAAGTAAAGACTAAGACAAGTTTTTTTTTCTTCATTCAATAAAAAACAAAACATATTTAGTCCCTTAAAATGGTTTCAAAAAATATTAAAGGGGTAAATATATATACTTAGGAAATCTCTGATTCAAAGTACCTAAAGTAAAAGAGAAACATTTATGTACATTTTGTTAAATGCTTTGCGGAAGCAACAGAGGTACTTTCCAGATTAAGTTCTCTACCAATTTCTTTTGTTTCAGGTGTCATCATTTGTCAAAATGCAGTTATTAAGCATGGCCTTTATAAAAGACTCTACTGGCAGATATATATTTTAATGTGTTGGCAAAACTGTACCCTAAACTGGTGTAGCTAAAAGCCACAACATGGTGGAAATAAAAGGAAAGAGAAGCAGTCCTGAATGAATTAACTCACTAAGAACAAAACAAAGCAAAGGCAGCAGAAATGCAAACACTTTCCAAAGTATGAGGAAAAATTTTGGTCTAAGAGAAACGTTTCTATTTTGTATTAACCTCAATATACTTCAGAGAGGAATAATTTTTTTAAAAAATCATTTAAAAAATCAATAGAGTTCCTATTTCAGGAAGGGAGAGATGAGAAGGTTAAATATATTCATTTATCTATCAGGTGATAAAAATGTCATTCCCACAAAAGCCAGAAAAAACTGCAACTGGGACTTTATATACCACTTGGCTAGCTCATTGACTGGCTTGGATGAGTGGCCCCACACTACTATAGGATGCTAAAGACAGAAGCATCGGGCAGAAAAGAAGAAAGAAAAGTAGAGAAAATGGTTTAAGAGTAGGATAATCAAGGGAAAGAAAATAAACGGTTAAAAAATATGGTGAAAAAAGGTTCAACAAAAAAAAAATCAGAGTCTAGAAATAAAGATTTCACCCTAGCAAGAAAAAAAAAAGAATTAAGCAGTTTAAAAATTCTGTAACTCAAGGCTGAGCATAGTGGCCTTGCTGCCAGTACTCTGGAAGGCCAAGAGAGAAGGATCTTTTGAGGCAGGGGTTTGAGACCAGCCTAGGCAACAAGGCAAGACCCCTCTGTTAAAAAAAAAAAATTTTTTTTTGTAACTTAGCCAAGTGTTGTGGCATGGGTCTGTAGTCCCAACTCTTCAGGAGGCTAAGGCAGGAAGATCACTTAAACCCATAAGTCTGAAGTTACAGCAAACTATGCTTACACCACTGCACTCCAGACTCAACAACAGACCAAGACCCATCTCTAAAAAAGAAGAAAGACAAAAAGAATTTGATAACTCAAAAGCTGAGTTTCAATCCTTTCCTTAATAAATTCTGAGGATATTATCTCATGTTGAAGACACAGAATGCCAACATTCAGATACAGGATAAAAATTCTTAAGCTATAAAAAAGGTCAAAAATGACTTCAATTATCATTACCTCAAGACCAGTCATTTCCTACTCCAAACAAAACAGAGAATAAATCTTACTTTAAAAATTTCAATGATAAGCACAGGGTTTTGAATAAATATATATTAGAACACTAATAATACACAAGTAATAGTTTCCAAGAAGAAAATAAGCCAAATAGTCCTTCACATAAATCTACAAAGAAACTGTAAAGCAAAAAAAAAAAAAAAACCCTAATGTAGAAGGCAAAGATAACAAAATTCTAGGCCAAATAAATTGCTATGAAAAATTAAAAGTATAACAAATAAAAAAAACTTTCTGACAATATGCACCCTGTCTTTTAAAAAATGCTAGGAAATTAACATTCTCCAAAATGAGATAAAATCTGAAAGAGGATATTTAATAACTGTTCTGTCTCAGATCTTACTCCATAGGTTAAATTAGCAAATACGCTCTCACTTATTCTTTTTTTCTGTTTTTAAGAGATGGGGTCTCACTCTGTGGCATAGGCTGGTGTCCAACTCCTGGCATGAAGTAATCCTCCCACCTCAATCTCCCAAGAAGCTGGAATTACAGGCATGAGCCTGTAATTGCATAAAATATCACCTTTGGACAAAAGAAGCTGACGTAACAAGTGAATAATCATCCTTAAAATACTGAGTTAAAAAGTTAAGCCTTCCTTTTACAGGCCTTGTTCTTCTGAAAAATACCTGCATCATATAAACACCAACAATAAACAGACACAATGCAATGATTAAGCAAACAAACTAATTATACTCTGGTGAGCTTAACCTCTTTCTCTGAAAGGTCACCTTGCAATAGGCTGACTTTTTCCTTCAAGTCTTTAAGATCTTTTTTGTAGTTATCAAGATCTTTTTTGTAGTTCTGCGCCTGGTAGAAGCCTGATTCTAATGGAAGAAAAATATTAGGTAATTGAGATTTTCACACTGTGGTCTCATATTTTACCCACAAGGGAGCTGCATATTTTTATCTTTCTCTGAACTGTCAATTTTCTATGATTTGGGGGATTATCTTGAATAAAATAAAGTAGAATAAGAATGCTAAGAGAATTAATTCAGGCATATATGGTATTTTAAAGTTTGGGCATTATTACTCCATTGGTAAATTATTCCCTATAAACACCCTAAGGTTATCTACTATGCTCTTAAAGCAAAGCAAAAAAAATGTAAAAAATTTTCTTTAACCTTTTTCAATTGTGATTCCATTTTCAGACACTCCTCCTTCTTCTGCTCCAAAGCAATCTCTAGTGTCTTAAGCCGTGAGTCCTTTTTCAGTCCTGAGGATGCCAGAGAAGAAGCATGCTCTTTCAGATCCAAAAGTGAAGCCTAAAAGAGGCAACACACACATCTAGAATAACTAACTATAAAAAAAATAGAAATTTTGAATTTTATATTTATTATCATGGTGGCTGTCATTTCCTTTCCATTACCAAATACTGATGTATTTCCATTTCAAGATAATTCAGAAAATATGAAACAGTATTAGCTCTAGCTTTCAACTCTTAACAAATAAGATGGATTCTCAAGAAATTCCAACTGAACAGTGATTTAAAGAGTTCTGTTAATACATACCGATTCTCACAAAATAAACAAAAGTATATCAAGCTTTGTAAATTTAAGTGGTCACACCTCAGTGGCTACATTAACTTAAACTTGAAACATTTTTCAGCCAGATGCCGTGTTTCCATGCCTATAATCCCAGCATGTTGGGAGGCCAAGGTAGGGGGATCACTTGAGGCCAGGAGTTCAAGACTAGCCTGGGAAACATAGCAAGACCCTGTCTTCACAAAAAAAAAAAAAGAAAGAAAAAGAAAAAAAAATTAACTTAGGCTGTCATGGTAGTGCACACATACAGTCCTAGGTACTTGGAAGACTGAATAGAAGGATCCCTTAATCCCAGGAGTTCATGGCTGCAGTAAGCTGTGATTATGCCACTGCACTCCAGCCTGGGCAACAGAGTAAGACACTGTCTCTTTAAAAAAAAAAAAAAAATCACATTTTTCCCTATTAGAAGAAAAATTATATTAGGAATTTAAACCTCCATAACATTTCCTAAGGATATTAGAAAGAAAATCCAGAGAAAGATGCTAAAGCTCATGCATTATGATCATCTGATTACATAGCATGAGGCATCTCTGCTATTTATGTCACATTAACAGGATTCTCCAAAACAAGATCAAAGTATATTAAGTCACCTAATTTAATAGCTGTTGTTTTCTTTGATAGCTGCTACACATAAAATTTCTTCCTTTTGCATCTTGCTTTTATCTGTCAGCTTTCTTATCTTTAGCACACCATTTCTCCAAATGTATCTGAGCTTCAGTTATTTTAGGGTCTATAAAAATACTATTAACAAGTAAAAAAACAACTCAAAACATAGTAACACTTAGAAAATGAATGAACCAATCTTTCTGAAATATTCCCTAAGGTACAAAAATCTTGCTAAAAGATTTTTTTTTTTTTTTTTGAGACAAGTCTTGCTCTGTCACCTAGGCTGGGGTGCAGTGTTGTGATCTCAGCTTACTGCAACCTTCACCTCCTGGGTTCAAGTGATTCTCCTGTCTCAGCTTCCCAAGTAGCTGGGACTACGGGCACCCACCAACATGCCCAACTAAATTTTGTATTTTTAGTAGAGATGGGGATTTACTGTGTTAGCCAGGATGGTCTTGATCTCCCGACCTTGTGATCTGCCTGCCTCAGCCTCCCAAAGTGCTAGGATTACAGTCATGGAAACATGGCACTGGGCCTGGCTTGCCTACTAAAAAGAATATTAAGAAAATTTTCCATCAAATACTTTTTTACATGCATTATATAAACACCAACAACAAACAGACACAATGCAATGATTAAGCAAACTATATTTTGGTGAGCTTAACCTCTTTCTCTGAAAGGTCGCCTTGCAATAGGCTGACTTTTTCCTTCAAGTCTTTAAGATCTTTTTTGTAGTTATCAATTTCCTCTTGCTTCTCCCGCTCATCTCTGTCCCTCTGCTCCTTTAAGCGTTCAATTGTCCGCTCCTGATGAGAGAATATATCAACATGTGAGGAAATTCCTTTTTTGTACTTATATGACTTTAATTTTGCTTTTAGCTGATAAAATTTCAAACTTCTATATTGAAAAGACAATCGTAAGTTTTTAAAGAATCCACTTTTTAAAGAATCCTTCTTATTCATCTTGCCATAACAAGGATGTAACTTTATTCAACTGAATCCCAAGGTTTTTTCTTTTTTTTTCTTATGATCTCAACTAGTATTTGATATTGCTCAAGTATTCTTTGGGAATATTTCCGTTTACTTAATTTCCAAGTAACTAAAAGCTTATATATATGCCCTAAGGACAATAACTAACAAAATAATTAACTATTTCTTCTCTATATATTATTCACATGTTGCCTATAAGGCAATGGAAACAACTCACAACTCACACATCAACAAAGGGGCAATGGGAAAGATTTTGATATTTTGAGCTTAAAATATAAAGAAGGGTAAAGAAGAAAAAATAAATCATCAGAACTTTCTGTGAGCAGATACTCATGAAGGTCAGGAATTCAAGACCAGTCTGGCCAACATGGCGAAACCAAGTCTCTACAAAATATTAGTTGGTCATGGTGGCTCATGCTTGTAATCCCAGCTACTTGGGAGGCTGAGGCAAGAGAATCACTTGAACCCAGGAGGTGGAATCTGCAGTGCGACAAGATCACACCACTGCACTCCAACCCGGACAACAAAGTGAGACTCTGTCTCAAGAAAAAAAAAAAAAGAGCAATTTACTTTTGGGTACCATTTCTAAATATATTCAGGAATAAAGCCTCGATCCCGGCAGGCAGCCTGAAGCATTCTGAATCCAAGAGACTTAAAGAACATTGACCCCCTCATCCCATAAAAAATAAAATCCAATTACAATGACCCAAGAAGATGCCCTAAACCTCTTTCCAAGACATTAACACTGATCAGAGGTTTGGGCTACTTCCTTAGTCAACCATTCCTAAAAAACTAAGTTTGTTGGCTGGGGGCAGTAGCTTACACCTGTAATCCCAGCACTTTGGGAGGCTGAAGCAGGCAAATCACAAGGTCAGGCGTTCCAGACCAGCCTGGCCAATTTTAATAGAGACTAAATTTTTTTAGTCTCTACTAAGAAATATGAAAATCAGCCAGGCGTGGTGGCAGGTGCCTGAAGTCCCAGCTACTCGACAGGCTGAGGCAGGAGAATCGCTTGAACCTGGAAGGCAGAGGATGCAGTGAGCTGAGATAGCACCACTACTGCACTTCAGCCTGGGCAATAAAGTGAAACTCTGTCTCAAAAATAAATAAACAAAGAAACTAAGTTTGTTTATAAAGGTAAAAGAAGGTAGCAAGGTCAAGACTAGAAAATTAGAAAGCACATTGTATTAATAACTAAAATCCAGGAATATACAAGGTACCAAAATGGGATAGTAAAAGAGGACTAATTATGTATCGCGTCTGATGATCATATCTGCTATTCCCACATCCTCAAATTCTAGTTGACCATATAAATTTAAAATTTTTTTCTTTTTCTTCAGAAGATAGGAAATGGAGAAAATCTGGCTGATTCTTTAGAAAATGTGGCCACTGCTCTGTAGTGTAGAGTCCATCTTGCCTAGAAGCAGATGCTTAAACTGGCCACAACTCAATGGAGTTTCTTTTCCCTTCACACTACATATGTCAGCAATAGCATACAGTAGCTCTTTTCCCTTTTGCCCACAGAGATGTCTTCTGTATTCTATACCCAGTTTTAGATTAATGAGAAAGCAGAAAACGTGTGTGGAGAGTCGAGCCAGTCACTTACTTTCTCTGCAAGGGCCTCCTCCAAAGTTGTCAAGGCAGTGTCAGTATTGGTGGTGTCAGCTTGCAAGGATTTGACCCGTTCTTTCAAGCTGCTCATCTGCTTTTCCTTATCTCTAAGCTGCTCTTGAAGATTTTCAATCTAAGTGTACATAAATATTTAAGAGAAAAAAGAACGTTTTTAAAAAACAATAGCACAATCAAAATCATTTTAATTTGAAAACAGCTCAGGGTTGTCTGTGTGCCTTCTGTAGAAATTATTTAATCCTAAGTTTCAGAATTACATGCAAAACCTTAAACCCAGGAATCTGCAGGCAAAACAAACAAAAAAAGGTACACAAGTATATGGACACATATACAAGTAGCTAGCAGAAAAGATCCAATATAGAGATGGCCATGTAGAGAGGAAAGCTATGAGGACTAGAATTACTTCTAAAATGGCATTGTAAATGCAAGGGGAATTCCTTCACAAAGAATAAAGGGAAGACAGAGAACAGATAAGCTAAACAGTGAGAAAGATGAATCTGCTGTGTAAAGAAAGGGCTGTTCTTAAATGCTAGTTTTATGTTAGATTTACATCATCTTTTATCTAAGCAGCAAACATTTTTGTAGTCATTCGTTCATACACACTTACATGTATTAATTTACTCAAAAAAAGTGTTGAATTCTATATTACATGCCAGACACTACTGATATGAAGAAAAATGAATATGCTCATTTTTATTCTATTATGAGATGGTAAGAAAATGCATCATTATACAGCTAAAGCCAAGCTATAGAAGAGCTTGTGTGCCGACCTAAGGAGCACAGATTTTATTCAGAGAAATGAAAACCATTTTTAAGCACAGAAATCGTCTGGCCAGTTCTGTACTTTAAATAAATAACAGTGCCAGTGTTGGCAGTGTCAGCATACAAGGATTTGACCCAATCTTTCAATGAAAATTTAAGAGGACTTGCATATAGACATGGAAAACCATCATGGGTTGTATCAATTCAGGTAAGATTATGGGGACTAAACACACTATGAGATAACATCGTGGAAATAGCATGTTATCACTCAAGTACAACAAGCAGCATGTTATCACTCAAGTAGAAGGAGATTGAAGTACAATAAAAAATTATTCAAGTAAAAACTATGAGGAAATTCTAAGGAGATATCCTTATTAAGCTAAAGGAAAATTATAAATAAACCAGCTACTCACAAAGTTCATTCATTCACTATATACATACAATTTTAACTTCCCGCTATAGATCAGGCACCTTTCCAGTTGTTGAGGAAACAAAGTAATGAAAACAGACCAAACCCCTGCCTTCATTGAGCTTACATTCTGGTAAGGTAGACAAATGAATGAAAGAAGGAAGTAGTAAGTGATTGAACAAATGAATGAATCAATATAGCATAGGCAGAGATAAGTTCTATCGAGAAAAATGAAGCAGGAGAATATAATCGCAGTCTCCTCTTGAGCTGATACTGAAACTATCTGATTTTTTTTACATGGTTTTCAAAATGCAAGATAAACATTATCTCTTCTGGGAATAGTCTGTGGCCCTCACCCCATGAGAAAAACTTGATCACTGTCTGTATACCATTAATAATACATATACATGCATATATTATATGTAAATACATACTCCTCCATTCTTCCATGTATCTATGTATTGACCACACATCTCCATTCTTCCAACTATCATTATAGCACTGATTAGTGTATGTAACCATATGTAATTCTTTGTTTTATACATGTCTCCACAAGTAGACATAGATCCTACTCCTCCATCTGTTTTGTACCTTCCTAAATGGTACATCTCAGATCATAAACATTAATCAATAAATGAATAAAGTATAAGTTTGGACTTTCAGAAACTGCATTTAGGATTCACAAAAACTCCTTCCAAGAAGGGAATTACAAAACAATCCTGGATCGAATTGTCAGGTAGTTTCTTACATTAATAAATTTAATACAAGTTCTTTAAGGTACCTCTCTAGAGTCAAGAAGAACTTGACAGGCAGAACAAAAAAACTAAGAAAGAGATTTGATAAGTTTAGAATAGGGTACATGAATATGCTGAAGCTTAAATTTTCACTTAACAAAAACATAATCATACAGCTGAACCATGAATTGCCTGAAATGGGCTCCAGTCTATTTGGTGCCAGTTAAGAGTCCAAAGCCCATTGTAAGCACTGAGTTCATCATAGATAGAAAGTATTAGTCTCCCCTTGATTTTATTAGATACTGCTACTAAAATCTCATATGAATCAATACTTAGGTAAACTCATAACCATTAAAGAGAATTTTGTCACTCGAAACTTCATATACTCCAAAAATTCCTATACTTCATATAGGAGTATACCTCAATTTCTTACATTTTGCTTCATTGCTCTTCACAGATACTGGTTTTTTACTAACTGAAGGTTTGTGGAAACCCTGCATCAAGCAAGTCTATCAGCACTACTTTTCAAGAGCAGGCTAACTTGGTGTCTCTGGCACATTTTCATAATGCTTGCAATATTTATTTTTCATTATTATTATATCTGTTATGGTGATCTCTGATCAGTGATCTTTGATGTTACTGTTATAATTTATTTGGGGTACCATGAACTCTACCCGTATAAGATGGTAAATATAAGAAATTTTTCAGATGATCCAACATGGCCGAATAAGAACAGCTCTGGAGTGCAGTTCCCAGCAACAACAACACAAAGGGTGAGTGATCACCACATTTCCAAACAAGTTTTCACTGCCCACAGACTAGAAGATTCCCTGGTTGAAAAGTGCCAGAGTTTCCAACACAGCTGCTTCAGCCAGAGCCACGGATTGGCACACAGAAACTCATATAAATCTGGGCAGCCATTTCAACTGGCACCTGGAACGCCTATAAGAGACAGAGCCACCCATTCAGCTGAAAGGGAGGGGGCTGAGACAGGGACCCAGGTGATCTGGCTTGGCAGATACCACCCTCACAAAACAAGCAATCTGAAATGCTCTGGATTGAGAGTTTCGCAGCAAGCACAGCTGGACCCAGAACAGTCCAGCTTGGTTGGGGGAAGGGTGTCTGCCACTACCAAGACAGTCAGCCAATACTGAGGCAGTTCTAACTGTACCTCTAAGAACAACACCTCAAGAAAGTTCACAGAGCAGCTGGGCAGAGCCTGCAGCAGCTCAGCAATGCCTCTACTGGCAGACTGTGACTAGACTATCACCATGCAGGGCAGGGCATCTATGAAAAAAGACACTCAGGAACTTATAAATAAACCCCAACCTTCCCAGGACAGAGCACTGGAAAAGAGATGGTTATGAGTTCTACTGCAGCAGACTTAAACGTACCTACCCAGCAGCTCTGCACCAAACAACAGAGCTCCCAGCACAGACTTGAGCTCCTAGAAGGGACAGACTATCTCCCCAAGCAGCTCCCCAACCCCCGTAAACCCAAAGAGACACTTCATAAAGGAGAGCTCAGGCTAACATCTGTTGGATACCCTTCTGGGACAAAGATAACAGAAGAAGAAACCAGGAGCAACCCTTACTTTTCTACAGCCCCTGCAGGTGATCCCCAGGCAAGCAGGGTCTGGAGTGGACCTCCAGCACTAATGCAGCAGAAGGGCCGGACCATTAGAAGGAAAACTAAGAGAAAGAAATAGCTTCACCATCAACAAAAAGGATGTCCACTCAGACACCCCCAACTGAAAGACACCAACTACAAAGACCACAGGTAGATAAAGCCAGAAAGATGGGGGAGAAAAAAACAGCATAAAAAGGATGAAAACACCAAAAACCAAAACGCCTCTCCTCCTCCAAGGGATCACACTCCTCACCAGCTAGTGAACAAAGCTGGATGGAGAATGAATCTGAAAAACTGACAGAAATCAGCTTCAGAAACTGGGTAATAACAAACTTCTCAGAGCTAAAATAACATGTGCTAACCCAATGCAAAGAAACTAAGGATCTTAAAAAAAGGTTAGAAGAAATGCTAACTAGAATAAACAGCTTAGAGAAGAATATTAACGACTTGATGGAGCTGAAAAACACACCACAAGAACTTTGTGAAGCATATACAAGTTTCATAACTGAATCGACAAAGCAGAAGAAAGGATATCAGAGATTAAAGATCAGCTCAACGAAATAAAATGAGAAGGCAAGATTAGAGAAAAAAAGAGTGAAAAGAAATGAATAAAGCCTCCAAGAAATATGGGATTATGTGAAAAGACCTAATCTACATTTGAGAGGTGTACCTGAATGTGATGGAGAGAATGAATCCAAGCTGGAAAACACTCTTCAGGATATTATCCAGAACTTCCCCAACCTAGCAAGGCAGGCCAACATTCAAGTCCAGGAAACACAGAGAACACCACAAAGATGTTCCTCAAGAAGTGCAACCCCAAGGCACATAATCGTCAGAATCACCAGGGTTGAAATGAAGGAAAAAATTCTAAAGGCAGCCAGAGAGAAAGGTCAGGTTACCCACAAAGAGAAGCCCACCAGACTAACAGTGGATCTCTTGGCAGAAACACTACAAGCCAGAAGAGAGTGGGGGTCAATATTCAACAACCTTAAAGAAAAGAACTTTCCATCTAGAATTTCGTATCCAGCCAAACTAAGCTTCATAAGCAAAGGAGAAATAAAATCCTTTATGAAGAAGCAATTGCAGAGACTTTGTCACCGCCAGGCCTGTCTTATAAGAGCTCCCAAAAGAAGCACTAAACATAGAAAGGAACAACCAGTACCAGCCACTCCAAAAATGTACCAAATGGTAAAGACTAACAACACATTGAAGAAAATGTGTCAATTAGTGGGCAAAACATATAGCTAGCATCAAAATGGCAGGATCAAATTCACACATAACAATATTAACCCTAAATGTAAATGGGCTAAATATCCCAATCAAAAGACACAGACTGGCAAACTGGATAAAAAGTCAAAACTCATCAGTGTGCTGTACTCAGGAAACCCATAACACATGCAAGGACACACATAGGCTCAAAATAAAGGGATGGAGGAAGATTTATCAAGCAAATGGAGAGCAGAAAAAAAGCAGGAGTTACAATACTAGTCTCTGATAAAATAGACTTTAAACCAACAAAGATCAAAAGAGACAGAGAACGGCATTATATAATGGTAATAGAATCAATGCAACAAGAAAAGC